ACTAAAAAAATATTGCAATTGAAGAAACTCTAGCCTTTTGCATCGATTAGATCTCATGATAATTAGATTCGGGTGTCACTTAGAGTTAATTTTGTTACCGTGATTATTTTCAGATTATTTATGGGCGTTTTTTTATTCGCAGAGTATAGAACAGTATCTGGTGTTGCTGGACCGTTAGTCATTCTGGACAAAGTTAAGGTAGGTTTGATCAATTGGCAGTTCAGATTCATATATGTATTGTGTGCTTATCAGAAAGCTTGAGATCCTCTAGTTTAGTCGGCTGATTGATATAACTCGCATAATTTTCCCAGTAAGAGCAGATGTCTACTGGTAATTATTTCCGCTGTTAATGGAACTTGTTCTGTGATATAATAGAATAAGTTTTTAATCTTTTCAGGGCCCAAAGTATCAGGAGATCGTCAACATTCGCTTAGGAGATGGAACAACAAGACGTGGTCAAGTCTTAGAAGTTGATGGGGAGAAGGCAGTTGTTCAGGTTTGCTGTTTGCTTCTGCTGCTATAGCTTTATTTGTTTGTTATCTTCTTTGGTTGCTGGTGTTGCATTCTTTATGTATTGTAGTTTGGCATAGCATATCTATATTCTCTTGAGGATGTTTGGTAGATTGGCTGTTTTGACAAAAGAACCTCTCATTTATCTCTCATTTTTATGTCTGGATTTATGTGCATCGTTAATCTATCTACATCTCTAATACCTTTCTCCTTTAACAGGTTTTTGAAGGAACATCTGGAATCGATAACAAATACACGACTGTGCAATTTACAGGAGAGGTAAATGTTCCTTCTGTGTTCTTTGGACGCCAACCTTTCTTTTGGATGATTTTGAACTTTCTTTTGATGGTATGGGTGTAGTCTTATTAGAAACTAGCTATAAAATTAGCTTTAATGGTTTAAATTGTTCACTAAAACGTGTATTTATCTAAAACTTGCATGTATGGGTATGATGTCTCATCTCTTTGAACGCCTCTTCTACAATGGAATGGTGCTAATATTATGAAGTTGCTCTTAAGTCTCTTCAAATGATATTTTGCAGGTTTTGAAAACACCTGTCTCATTGGATATGCTAGGGCGCATATTTAATGGCTCTGGAAAACCAATTGATAATGGCCCTCCAATTTTGCCTGAGGCTTACCTAGATATTTCTGGTAAGAATAAGGAATCAGGCAGGTCATGATATCTGATAATTGATGGATAGATCAATAATTGTCAACAGCGTAACCCTTTATTTTTCTTTGCTCCTCTTTCTTAGGGAGCTCTATCAACCCTAGTGAGAGAACGTATCCTGAAGAGATGATTCAAACTGGAATATCAACAATTGATGTCATGAACTCCATTGCTCGTGGACAGAAGATTCCTCTTTTTTCTGCTGCTGGTCTTCCTCATAATGAAATAGCTGCTCAGATTTGTCGTCAAGCTGGTCTTGTGAAGAGGTTGGAAAAGTCTGATAACCTCATTGAGGTATGCTTTGCCCACCAATAATTGTTGACATCAGTTTAATTGAATATATTATTTTCTACAAGCTTAGGAGTAGGAACTTTTGGATCAGTCATGTTAGTTGATTATATTCAAGTCACCAAAGTGCTATTCTATTTTATACAGGATGGGGAAGAGGACAATTTTGCCATTGTATTTGCTGCTATGGGTGTGAACATGGAGACAGCTCAATTTTTCAAGCGAGATTTTGAGGAAAATGGATCTATGGAGAGAGTTACCCTTTTCTTAAACCTGGTAATTGCTAATTAAGAAATCTCTATGTTCTTCAGCATGTTCTTTTCATCATATTTAATTTTTTTCGTTTTATTCTCTCACTGAATTTAGTCTCCTTCCTGCTCTTAATCAATCTATCTCTTTCTGATATACATTCAGGCCAACGACCCCACGATCGAACGTATTATCACACCTCGAATTGCCCTCACAACTGCAGAGTACTTGGCTTATGAATGTGGAAAACATGTTCTGGTTATATTGACAGATATGAGTTCATATGCAGATGCTCTTCGTGAGGTACATGTGGAGCGTTTTTGTCTGATCTCTTTGATTCTCCATGCTAGGAATTTCGCAAAATTTTCTGATTGCAGCAATTTCTGCTAATGCTTGACAAAATATTACTTGTGTTGTACATGCCTGCAGGTATCTGCTGCCAGAGAGGAAGTGCCTGGAAGGCGTGGGTATCCTGGTTATATGTATACTGATTTGGCAACAATTTATGAACGTGCAGGACGTATAGAAGGAAGAAAAGGTTCCATCACACAGATTCCTATCTTGACAATGCCTAATGATGGTAAGACTTGTGACTTCAACATGTGTAGCTTTCTGTTTAGCGCATCTTTTCTTAATGTTATGGTTTTGATATTGCATTTAGTTGGTTTTTCTTCTTCGAACCAGATATCACTCACCCTACTCCAGACCTTACTGGTTATATTACTGAAGGACAGATATATATTGATAGGCAACTCCACAATCGACAGGTGATTTTATTACTTTACTTAAGCATGTATGGATCTATAATCTCCCCTGCCATATGCTCTGTGCCCAAATGTTTTTGTCAAATCAGTTGGTATGGTTGTCTATTTAACAGAACTCTTCCCTGTTTCTGTGCAAGACAAGGTACATATTGCCAATACTTTGAAAGAGATGTAAACTTGTGAAGTTTCTTAAATTGAGTTCTACATTGTCCAATAGATATGAATTGTAATCTTTAGGGAATTTTGCATCGCATTGAACATTGTTAATAATTGGTTTCTTTATATTTTTTAACAGATATACCCACCTATAAATGTACTTCCTTCACTTTCCCGATTAATGAAGGTAAGGCCAAGTCATCATCTTACTGAAGAAAATTTTCTGTCATGTAGATGGATATCATAAACTTTAGAAGTTCTTGCTTAGCTTTTATGATTTTTGTTTCAGAGTGCTATTGGTGAGGGGATGACTCGTAGAGATCATGCTGATGTGTCCAACCAGGTCTGGTGGGAAGTTACATATTGACTACTCATAATTTTGTTCTTAAACTTAGCTCCACTACTGAACCTCCATAGAAATTGTTTTTTTTTTTTTAATCACCAAACATCTTTTTCCTTTTTCAATTTCAGCTATATGCAAATTATGCTATTGGAAAAGATGTTCAGGCAATGAAAGCTGTGGTTGGAGAAGAAGCACTTTCGTCTGAGGATCTGGTTTCTCTCTCTCTCTCTGCATGTGTGTGTTGTCAAATTGAATCTTAGAGGAAACAAATTTTAATTATTTTGTCTTTTGATTTTTTACTGGCAGCTATACTTGGAGTTCCTAGACAAATTTGAGAGAAAATTCGTGACTCAAGGAGCCTATGACACACGCAACATCTTCCAATCACTGGATTTGGCATGGACATTGCTTCGCATCTTCCCCCGTGAACTTCTCCACCGTATACCCGCAAAGACACTTGATCAGTATTACAGTCGTGATGCTACAAGCTGAGCTGATGAACTGGTTTCTATATCAACTCATTATTCACCCGGCTCTTAAATTGAGATGCTCCCTAGCCCCTCGCCCTCGCACTGTCTGGTTCTTTGCTTCGCTGCTGGACTCAACTAAAATCAGTTTCGGAGGGTGTTTCCTCTATTTCTGCACCGAACTCTGCTATATTGCTTGCTTCTCATTGTTGTACACTTGAAAAAAATAATGTTTATTTAGGAGAACCCATCAACTCTAGTAAGAACAAAATTTCTTGGGAGAATTCATGCCATCGTCCAAACTAATGTATTGTGTAAGTGGAACTGAACTTCCATAACCAGGTAGGTTGTCCAAAGTTCTTTCCTTCTTAGCTAGAAAACTTAGAAGATATTGTAATTGGTCCATGACTTTTTTTTTTTTTCCCTTTTATCTAGTTACGTGTTCCCAAAGTCCATTGAAATGATTTTTTTTTTTTTTTAATGAAAACATTTTGAACTGAGCAGCCCCTGGTGAGAACGCTGTAAATGTTGGAACCAAATCTGTCAATTTTTTCAAAATATTTTTCTCGTTTTCGGTGGAAGGCTCTTCCTACAACAGATTTCTGTTGTATTCTCGGGGTACAACAGACGTGCTATCCCAACCCAATGGGAAAACACCACATCAACATTTTTTTCACACTTCATCAATCACAAACCCAAAAAAAAATTGATGTGGTGTTTTCTCATTGGGTTGAGATACCACGTCTGTTGTATCCGCTGTGTCCCAGGGAATGCAGCAGACAAAATCCCTCCTTGCACGAATTTGTTGAGATTAGTCAGTGATTTCGCAGAACTTAATGGGTGGTCAAACCGAGTTCGTGCTGCACGTTTTTTTATAAAATCATGCTAACAATCTTAGTCTACATAATACATTAGAATGCGAAGTCGTATTACTCCTCTTCCTTTGCCTTATCAATCCCTCCTACAGTGAGAGCGTTACAGATTTTTTCTACATAAAGGGCAAGATCTTTTCTCTGTAAGCCACCTATCTATGCATGGTTGATGAAACATGTGTTGACACTTCGGTAAGCAATTAGTTGTTTCCCCAAGTAAAAAGTCCTGAAATTCATCCATGAACATGAATTAATCTACTTAAC